AAGAAAGGGGTGTATTTTGCATTCAGAGACCAAGGTGCCTGTCTGTCTCTCATTGCCATCAAGGTTTACTACATCACGTGCCCCGAAATTTCCAACAGTTTCGCGTATTTTCCCGAGACTCCGACAGGGAAGGAGGTGACAGCGATAGTAACGGTAGAGGGACAGTGTGTGGCCAATGCAGTGGTGGTCGAGACTCCGAGATTACTGTGTAAAGGAGACGGAAATTGGACTTTACCATCGGGTGGTTGCAGTTGTATGGCTGGATATGAACCGTTGGGTGAAATCTGCGAAGGTATGTCCCCTTATCAGTAATTGTAGTAAAGAATTAATTTAAAATTTTAGTCGGTTGAATAACATAATCGTCAAATATTACTTCTGTCGAAATATTGATAGATTGGTTCCCTCTAAGCCAACTATTTGTCCAATAAGAAGATTACTCGGTTTGTATGTTTGGTTTAGAAGTTTCTCTCTCTCCCGTCATCCTTTCAGCCTTAAGGCATTCTGTCGGACTGAATGTCATTAAGAAGTAATTCCCCGGTAAATATAAGTGAGATGCTTAATTAATTCGTTTTAATTCGGTAAAACTTTCTTGGTTATTTACACAACAGAAATTGGACTTGCACAACTGCGCTTAGTTAGAAAGCAAACAAACGTGTAACTTTGTGTATTTTTCAGCTAACCTTTGTTATAACTTCCTTCCCTTCTCCTTTTTTTTATATATATATATAAAAATCGCAAACTTGTATTATCATACTTAAAAAAAAAAATTGAAAAGAAGCAAAGATCCAGTTACAGCAGGAGGGTATCGATCGATGGATATTTTGGTCCGTTTCTTCTAATCCATTCACGTATTACGAATTTAACGTTTATAATTGACATTTTTTTTTGGTTATTTGCAGCCGTTTTGTCGAAGCATTTCAGTTAGTGCCATTGCTAATTTCTGCAGTTCACTTAGTGCCATTGAGAATCTCTTGAAGCTTCGTGCAGCTAGTGCCATTGAGAATTTCATGCAGACCACTACCTTTTTTTCCTTCAGCTTCAACACAAATATGGAAGCTGCAAGAAAAAATAGGAGCTTTAAAATCGTGTAGAGTACGTTGCACATCAAAGGCTAGCTGCACGGGTACTGATGAGAATAAAACCCAACAGGAGAATATGGGTTTCGTCCGCTTGACTCGTCAAAGCAATCACGAATGGCGTGACAATACAGCTCTTGTCTGAATAAAAAGGGAAAGCAACAAGAAGGAAAAAAAAGGCAGCAAAAAATCAAAATACGATTGTCCAACGAAGAACGACGCATTATTTTTTTTTTAAGGAAAGAAAATAGCATTATTAATCCTACTATAATTACTACGTATTTTTGTTTAGAGAATAAGAAGGGGGGAAACATTTAGAAGAGCAGGAATTACGACCCGGTGTGTATATCTCTTATGGTACATTAGCTCGTGCTGCATAACTAGTGGCAACCTTAATTGCTACTCACTCAAATTAATTTACGGTATCCATTATGAATGTAGGTCCTAATGTCGAGTTATATGAAATTTAGTAACACTGGCGGAAACTGTTCCCGTCCTAATACTCAATGATACGAAACTGGAGGAAGATGGCTGTTTTACATATCTATACAACACGGGGGATTATTCTGCTAGAGGTTTCCGAACTGTGCCATTTTAGATAAGTTTGCATATCTATACAAATTTAACTAGTTCGTGTATAATGCCTTCCAATCTTCGTGGGGATATTCTTTTCAAATATTCTAGTTTTGCACGCGACTTTTTTCCTTATTCCTTTCTTCTCTTTCGTCTGTTTCTTCCCTCTTCACCTACCCTATTGTGTTTTTCAATTGAAGAATCTTTTCTTACAAATGTTTGTATCTTATTTTATTGAATTTCGGCCATTTTGATTTCTTTTATTATTATTATTATTATTATTAATTACACACAAAACGCGCGATGTTTCATGGAGGAATTGCGTAAAATTCCTGTTTTTTTTTTCTTTTTTTCTCTCTTAAATATATTTTTAGTGTGTCCTGTAGGAACGTTTAAATCGAACGTTGGGGAAAATCCTTGCTATTTCTGTCCTCCTCATAGTGATGCACCTTATCGAGGATCAATGGAATGTCGATGCGATGATGGACACTACAGAGCACCTACTGATGCAGCATACAGTCCGTGCACTCGTAAGATTTATTATTATTATTATTTTTTATTCTAGACATACGAACTATTCTAGAATTAGTGTTACTTTTAACTACTGTTTGCTTTACAGAACCACCATCGGCTCCACAGAACCTCTCTGTAATTTTTGTAGACCAATCGACAGTGGTTCTAGAATGGCAAACTCCTTCGTATCTTGGTGGTAGGTCGGATCTAGAATATAGAATCGCGTGCGAAGGTTGCAGCCCTTCCGTGGTGTATTCACCTTCCGATAGGGGTTTTAACGATACCAAGGCAACCATCTCGTCCCTAAACTCAGTTACCTCATACAAATTCCAAGTCTATGCAGAAAATGGTGTTTCCAGTATGAGCAGGAGCCATTCCTCGGACATAATAGTAACAACCGAAGCTTCTGGTAAGTGTTTGATGCTATCTTTTGACGCTATCTCATCTGTATTCTTGAATAATATTCAATTTAATAATGAAACATCCCTGGTGTATCCCACGCTACCGTTTTAATTGATCGATTTTGAACGTTGCAAGGGGGGTGGGGGTGGGGAGAAAGTAGGAGTAAAGACTATTCGAGTCTTATTAAATTGTTAAAATCTCGAACAATTAATTGCTATGAGATAAGTCGGCTTCGGACGGATATACACACACATACGCGCGCACACTTTAATAACTTAAAGGTTTCATTTTGGAATTGAGATATGACGGTTGCTATGGCGAATGATATGATAAAAAATTAAAGATTTTATATATATATATATTTTTTTTTTTCTTTACTTTCATTCTGACTTCCCTTTATATATATATTTTTAGTATCTTCTGAAGTTAGGAACGTTAGAATTGTCAACGTTAAAAGTACCGAATTGATTTTAGCTTGGGATGCTTTATTGGAATCTAAAGACGAGTTGCAAGCTTATGAAGTGAAATATTTTCAAAAAGGGTTCGAGAGAAACACCTCCATATTAAGGACAATGAACGAAGAGATTCTGATTAACAATTTGCAAGAGAATACTGCTTATGGTTTTCAGGTATGGAACTTCTTTTGTACCTTTTCTGAACGTGTGACTCGTGTTTTTTGGGAGATTTAAGGTGTACTCTATAAGTTACGCATGTTTTTTGGGAGATTTAATGGTGTACTCTATAAGTTACGCATGTTTTTTGGGAGATTTAATGGTGTGCCCTATAAGTTACGCATGTTTTTTGGGAGATTTAATGGTGTGCCCTATAAGTTACGCATGTTTTTTGGGAGATTTAATGGTGTGCCCTATAAGTTACGCATGTTTTTTGGGAGATTTAATG